GTTTCATTCCAGAATTATTTGAACTTCGGCATTCGGTTATTTGAAATTTCTTCCTAGAAAGTAGGGGCTTTAAGTTGTGTTTATGATTCATTTGGCTAAGGATTGATTTATTTTGCAATAGTTTTCAAAACACGTTAACTTTTGTAGCGTTGATCGCGTGGTTGTTGCACTAAAAACGATAGAAACTCATAAATGAGGCTGCGTCTCTTATTTTTTCGTGGGTTCTATCTCTAAACCTGTTTTGATGGAATCTAGTTCCGGAGGTCTACATTGAAAGTTATGAAAGGAGGAACGTACGCTGAGGGTGTTTGAGAACAGGGTGTTGAGAATATTTGCACCGAAGAGAGATGAAGTGACAGGAGGTTTGAGAAAACTGCATAATGAGGAGCTTCATAACTTGTACTCTTCTCCAAGTATAATTAAAATGACCAAGCCAAGGAGGATGAGGTGGGCAGGCCATGTAGCACGAAGGGGGGAGAAGAGGAATGCATATAAGTTATTGGTGGGGAAGCCAGAAGGAAAGAGACCACGGGATTAGGTAGCTGGACGATATTAAAATGGACCTTAGGGAGATAGGGTGGGATGGTATGGGTTGCATTGATCTGGCTCAGGATAAGAACCAGTGGAGGGCTCTTGTGAACACGGTAATGAACCTTCGTGTTCCATAAAATGCTGGGAAATTCTCGAGTACCTGCAGATTTGGCTTCTCAGGAAGGGCTCAGCTCCATAATGAAGTACATCGAAAGTTATCGGGAATAAATATGAATCTATGAGGTATAAGGCTTCTTTGAATGTCCCATCCCCTGGGGCATTATAAAATTACAGAAAATCTCAGTATATCCGATGCATCGCCACGTATTTTACGGTTCATTCCGACAAGCATTTGCGCCAGTCTTTAGGACAGTGTACGCTTTGTATTGAGGTAAGTATTCTTAACTACAGCCAATAACAAACTAATAAAGTACACATCTGATGGAAATTTTGTTTGTAGTGGCTAGCATTCGCCGATCATAGTGGCTGAGCGATCTAAGGCATGAACTGTTTTCGCTTGCTCGAACGTTGGGAATCTGGTTTCGAATCCCACTCAAGGCAGTGATGTTAGTGTGTGTGCGTTTTTTCTGTGTGTTGTTCTGTATGCAGGTTGCGGCCTTGCGATGGGTTGGTCACTCATCCAAGGAGTCCTAACGTCTGTGTAAAAAATCACAGAAATGAAAAAGCGGTCGGCCCAACGAAGGGCTGTAGTGCCATTGATGAATGAATGAATGAATGAATGAAAAGTGGCAAGGATTCTTGTCTCATTGTCGAATGTTCCTGGCTCGAATTTCGGTTTTGGACTGACTATTCAGACTCAGAATGTAAACACACACACACACATATATATATATATATAAAATCATTCTTCAGCCAAATTCCGACTAATTCCATTAATAATTAGGAGTTGTGTGAACAGTGTGTATCTTGCCATGTGGTGCCTCTGGTTTCCTCAGTCCCCGCAGGCTAACACCTTTACTTTAGACTATGTAAGGACACTGTTACATCCTTGAAGCTTCCTCTAGATTTACCATACTCAACCACCGCACTGGAGCTCATATCTACCTGTTTGCTCCATATTTTTTCCCTTGACACTACAGCCCCAGTGGACCTAGGCCTACCTCCATGAACTTCTCCGTTCACCTCTGTTTTTCTAGATCTTACACATTCGGTAGGACTCCTTGGGCGAGTGACCAGCTCGTCGCAAGGCCTCTACCTGTACACAGACACAGAAAAACGCACACACACAAACTAAACATCCATGCCCTGAGTGGGATTCGAACCCACGATCCCGGTTTCCAAGCGAGCAAAGACAGTACATGCCTTAGACCGCTCGGCTACCGTGACCGGCTGTTTGCTCCATATAGCGTCTAATTTGCCAACAAACAAAATTAAAAATTAGACCCAAAGCTGACTATTGAACGTGTGAAGCAGCGATTATTGGCCAAAGTACAACTTTTTATAAAATTGGTTTACTATTTTTATCAGTAGTTATCATGGTCTTTACTTTTATAATATCCATTCTGTGATTAAAAATTATATAATTATAATTATTGTTTTAATTGGAAAGTTCATAAAATCTGAAGTTAATATTTTATTAAACATTTATCTGTGTACATTTTACTGCAGATAAATGTGCTGAAATATTCTCGAACTATCAACGTTTCCTTCATCAGAGTCAATGCCAAAGAAGATTTTAACATATTTATCATTGTGTTTTATTGTGAATTGTATTTTATGGTAATAAAAACACAGACAGATAAAGCTGATTATCAGTATATACATAGAAATATAGGTATAATTTCTATTATAAAATACCAAACGTATTCAGAGGAAAACTAATTGGCCTTTCCAAGCAAGCAGTCAGATTTGTAGAATTAAGCTACCCCATAACACCCTGTCGTTTCTAGGGATGTTGTGATTCTCTAAGTTCGGAATTGTAGTAAAATATTAAATACTACTGTTCCTCGTAAAACTTAAATATTGCTCTGTATTGAAACAGTTAAATTACTGATTTAATATAGAGATATGCATGAAGTGGGTGAGTGAAGAAACTGCTTTATTGCGTTGTACTGTGCTGTAGTACAGAAGACTTGCTGGGAGTTCCACAGCATTGCAATTAGTAGTCGAGGAAAGTGCAAGAGATAGGGAATATAACTTGGAACCCATGAAGAAGCTCTCAAATAATTGATCACCTAGTGGCTGTCAACCAGTTTAGTTAAAGATAACGCTGATTGGAATGGAGAGGAATGAAACAGTAAGAAAAGTTTAAGTGCTTCCAGAAGTTCTAACAATTGTCAACACTTTACTCTTCTCTAGCGAACTTACATTGTGCTGTATCTCAGAAGTAAGTGAATTGTATAGTTCCGTACATTGGGCCCGCTTATAAACATTTCTGTTATATGAAACTTTCTATTTTGTCTAAATTACGGTAAATAAAGCTAGTTTTGTTATTTCAATACGTTAATTGAGAGTTTAGTCTATGCCGTTTTCGAAAAATAAAGTAAATATAGGATGTAAGGCTCACAACGTAATTATCCCTCGACTTACTAGCATCAGGAGCATTACATTAGCTTCAGTTAAAAACAGCTAATTCTTTATAAATCAAACCCGACAAAGAATTTTCTTTCAGTACTCCTTAACTGTATTTTGGACATCAATAACTAAACTCTGTTGTCAAGATAAGAGAAAAACTAAATTGGTTGAGGCACTATGCTACAAGTCGGAAGGTCGCGGGATCGAATCCCGATGAGGTGGATATTTTCAATTTACCCAATCCTTCCAGCCGCATTATGGCCCTAGGGTTGACTCAGCCTCTAACAGAAATGATTACCAGAAATATTCTTGGGGGTAAAGGGCGGCCGGCGCGTGAAGCTGACAAACTTAACAGCATCTATGAGCCGATTGTCTAGAAAATATGGGAACGTCAACATCTCACAACCCTGTGGGCTTCCACGGCCTGTTACAGGGATAGTTTTACTTTTACATACATTAGCCATATTCGCATGTCCATGATTGCTAAATGTTTCATATTTTTCCAGTCACAAATCCAGTCTCTAGAACCGGTGGTTCCGTATATAACCCTGCTTAATTTCTCTCTGCTGCTTTCGGATAAGCGGATAAACGTCGCTGTAATTGTGTTCGCTGGTGTGTTACGAGAATTCATGCAGCGATTATGGAGCAACAAATGAAGCTTACACTGAATGACACTATAACATTTCCTCCATTTACTGCTTTTCGTTCATCTTTCTGCCATGTTGACTGAAACGGCATCACTCTTAAGCTGCAATATGGCCTTACGGCTGTCTGCACATATCGCTTACATTTATATTCTGCAACTGAATTATTTAACGACGCTGTCAAAGCTTCCACATGACGCCGAATTGTAGAATGATTAGTGAATTAGAAGTCAAGAGTGTGGGAGAAAGTGATCGTGGCCTACTTAGAGATAATATGTACATAATTATCTGGAATACCACGAACAACTTCACGTCAGTACCAACGGTTTTGGGCCAGGTCTTGAACCCGGGACCCCCATATTCTAATAGAAGTGGTACGCACTCGACAGTCTCTTTGTTCTATTGTTCAGTTTCTCCTATACTAATTAAATTAACCATTATGATCCAAAACTAGATTTTTTCATTTAAGAGCATAAAAATGCCCATAAAACCTGTTTCTGCGTTTGTGAACACGTGCAGGTGTTATGATCTGAGCAAAGAATGCACGCTTCACAGGAACTTTCATAATATAAAAATAGAGGGAGGGTTGTACAAATTTCGCTGCTTGTCTGACACTCAGCACGAAAACTCTTCTCAGTATCAAGCTGGCATGATGCTATGTAGGTAATATTGCCTACAGTCAATGGTCGGAATGCGTGTGATAGCCACGGGATGGGTATGAGATATTTCTTGTGATAGAATTAACATCATAGCCTGTATTCATTGAAGTAACCACCTCTCAGGATTGCCTTAGCAGCGCTGTCTCTAATTCCTTGTCTCTCCCTTTTCTTTCGCGCTTTGTATTCCTTCATTTTTTGTTTGATTCGTACTGTCTTAATCCTTCCTTTGTTTTCCTTCTTCTTAAATTTCTCCCTCTATTTCGTGGTTGGCGTCTTTCTTTCTTAATTTTATTATTCATAACTACTTCCTTCCATCTTCCTGTCGTTGCTCCCTCCTTTATTCCCTTCTCCTTATTTCGTATCCGTTTGTTTCTTTCATTCATTCTTTACTTATTTCTTTCCTCCTTCCTTATTTTTTCTTATTATTATTTCGATTTATTTTTAGCTTAAACAAAGATGTAATCATAAACCGTTACTAATGTAAGATTGGAGGCCGTTTATGATCATTAGTATATCTAAGTATACCTAGTCATAAAAAAGCTGCAGCAAGAACATGAAAGAGATTTCGGATAAAATGAAGGGGCAAATTGTATACAATTTAATGTGGAGTAATATGTTGGTTATGTTACAGTATCAACATACCAGGGGGAGATCCTTAAACTTTCGAAGATCACGAGGTCCGAGATGGGGGCGTACCTGTGTATAGCTTCTAATGGAGTCCCGCCTTCAGTCAGCAAGAGGATCATGGTCAACGTACACTGTAAGTTTCAAGCCCATAACACTGTCTGTCTGTCTGTGTCTCTGTCTCTTTATGTGTCTCTAGCCCTTGTGGACCTTTGCCGTTTTTGAGTTTCCTGATCCATACACAGTCGGTAAGACTCCTGGGACGGGGGATCAGCCCGTCTCAAGGTCGCTACCTACACACAGAACAACATAAACAACGAATAAATCACACAGACATCCACTCATCGAGTGAGATACGAACCCACAGTCCCATTGTTCTAGCGGGCGAAGTCGGTTCATGGCGCACACCACGCGACCACTTTTATCGGCCCAATAACACACTGTTCTGCAGTAAAGAACTCTTGTACTCTAGAATGCCGCTTCGCAAGAAACTGAGTCAGGTCCATCTCAATTATCCGTCAAATTCGCATAAGGTGAAAACATTTTTATTGGAGCATTACTCTTATATTGCAGTAAAGTAAAGTAAGTAAATGTATTCCTGTAAGAGGCCGTGGAGGCCAATAAGTTTGTGAGATCTTGAGGTTCCCACATTTTCTAGGCAGTCCGCTCATAGTTGGCGGTAAAGTTGTCAGCCCTACGCGCCGGCCGCCTTTACCCCAAGAATATTCCTGGTACTCATTTCTGTTGGAGGCTGAGTCGACCCCAGGGCCATAGTGCGGCTGGAAGGATTAGGTCAATTGAAAAAATCCAATGACCTCAACGGGAATTGAACCCGCAACCTTCCGGCTTCTAGCATTGTGCCTCAACCACCTATGGTACCGCGTGCCCCCCTAATTCTATAGTATTGTCACGTGTTGGGGTTTCCATGACAAATGTTAACGAGTTCTGGACTGGTGATTGGATTTATTAACACTTCTTTTAAAATCTCTCTTATTCACACTCGCTGATCAACTCACTCCATAAATCACTGGGACATGCTCCATTCTCGTATACTCTCCTGTGCATGTGCTCTCGACTTAACTGTCAGTCAAAATCAGAATTATTTCACGACTGGCGGTTTACCACCGATCAGTTCGTCTTGGCATCAGGCATCTTGAGACTCACTATCAGAGATTTTTTTTTATTTGAAATCTTGTGGAAATAGTTCCTATGTAGCATCTTCTCTGACGAGAAAATAGTGTCGTGTTTTATGAATATGCTTGGTCTTTCTTTAAGTGCACAATTCGCACATATTGCATGTTCTTGGAAAAGTCCCCCTTTTGCTCTACGCGCAAGTCCTCTGTCGGCACAGGCTTTACAGAGCAGGTCATACCTATCTTACGTATATTCTGCTACAACGGCAAATTAGTCACTTGAACGGTCGTTAGCTTGACCACCGCCAACTTTATATATGGCTTTGCCGTGTTCTATACAACTAACATGTTCATTCTCATGATTTTGTATGACTTCTCTTTGCTACATGCACAATATTTTATATAATCACATACATATGGAAGGTTGAAAGCTGTGTACAAATAGCGGGGTAGTGTGGAACTTGAAAATTTCCAATGATGCGCAGAACCCTCTTTTGTAGGCGCCGAAATTCTAAGAGGCTAGTGTCTGCCGCTAATTCCTTGACGGGACAGTCTAAGTCATTAGTTTTTTTGTTGTTTGTTTTTTGTATTTGGGGCACTGTCGGCCAACTCCCTGTTTTATGGTGCCAATGAAAACTGGAGTATAGATTTAGAAAACCACGTTTGTGATAAACATACATAACATCGGCATTATACTGTTTTGTGAATAAATACACAATAACAAGCTCGCTGGTAATGGACTACGAAGGTTCAGCACTAATATCAAAGCCCTTTCTCATATATATGTACCTCACCCACATTCTTGAACCTCGTCAAAATTTGACTTTCTAAATCGCATTCAAATATAATGTGGCAATGATTAATAGTTGTTTTCCTTGGCACTATAGCCCCAGTGGGCCTAGGCCTACCTCCATAAACTTCTCCGTTCACTTCGGTTTTTCTAGATCTTACACATTCGGTAGGACTCCTTGGGCGGGTGATCAGCTCGTCGCAAGGCCTCTACCTGTACACACACACAAATCAACATCCATGACCTGAGTAGGATTCGAACCCACGCTCCCGGTTTCCAAGCGAGCGAAGACAGCACATGCCTTAGACCGCTCGGCTACCGTGACCGGCGATGAATAATTTATTCAGCAGTTATTGCTCTGCTTTTCGTAGTCACGTATGCTCTTGACGTCAGCCTTCCGCTCTGTATTTTACCTGAACGCATCTGCTCACTCACTGCACTTACTTCCTCTTTCACCTCCACTGGCATTGAGTTGAAGAGAAAACTTACTATTCTAACGAATTAGCTGACCCACCGACTGACTGCAGACGTGTCCCCTTTGGGAAATGTCTAACGACTTCCCGGTGAGATCGAACTTCGAATTTAGCTAAGTCGTTTGTCAAACTTACCGGAAAGCGTCAAGAGAGGTCTCGATAGTTCGATGCGACCACAGCGGCCCCCACTCCCACGCAAATATATCAGTCGCTGTAATACTCATGTTTACAACATAATTTGTAGAACCACTAGGGAAACAGATTAGAATAAAATATTAGAATGAAGTTTCTACATATACTTAGCATGTTAGGTGATTCTTACCTGTTACGCTAATGTTTGTGGCTGTCTTCTCTGAACATTACAACATACTACATTCTTATTCTACAAAAGCAAGAAATTTATTAATTAGCTATGCATTTATGAAGATATCTATTTTCTGGGTTATAACATTATGTAATTCTCTGAAAGTCAACCGAAGTTTCGGAGGAACATATCTCCTCCATCTTCAGGGCCCAAGAATGATCCAAGGAAGGAAGCAGAGAAAAAAAGGATCTGCTTCACAGTCATTTCTTGCTTGGCTTACTTTTCCACCCTGAATTTTGATGCGACATGTTCCTCTGAAACGTCCGTTGACTCTCCGGGGACTACATGGCGACATATCGCAGAAGACGGAAAGACAGATTGTTGTATTTATATTACGTAAGCTATTCATTCATCTGTGCTCTCTTAATTAATATTAATGATGTGCTTTGTATTAAAGATGCAAGAATGTATCTTAATCTACTTGTAAAATCCCACGTTACACTTGTAGTGCCTGTAGTTGGCGCACTGTATATTCGGACCCCATACTATTGAATGATCTCCACAAATATGTACCACCTCGATAAAAAGTACCATGCAATTTTGATTCCTTGCAAACAGCCCAGACCGCTTGATCATTTGGTTAACCATGCGATCGTGTGAGATTGGAACTTATGGTCTGCCCATCCCAGGGTTCTGGTAATTATTCGAAAGTGAACTTGAGGCCGAGGCGTGATCCCTGGCCACATGCAGTTTAATTGTTCCAGACATTGCTCTAGACTTTCAGGACATAGAGACACACCTCCATTAAGATTATCTCACCCGATTTGTGCTTTGAAAGTAACAGATGTTTCGGAGGAACATCCTTCCATCTTCATGATCGGGAAAAAGCAAAATAGAAAACACCATGAAACATTGGCTTGCAATCTGTTTCGTGTTAGTTTGTTGCTGTGCTTATTCTACGACCCTGAAGATGGAGGCGACATGTCCTCCTAAACATCGGTTTACTTTAAACGGATTGCACTCCATAGTATCCCAAAAATCTATTTTGTTTCTTTTGTATTTTTCTGTTTTCTTGCACTTTTGCAATGAATTTGTAAAGTGCGGCTCCTAGCCTGATCTAAGCTGTCTTTCCGTGTGTCTGTACACATGTAAGAAGCTGAGAACCACTGAGCCTAGTTTCATGAGCATTAATATAATTTCCTTTTTACATTGTCACCCCGTGCCTACTCTTCATAATTGTGTGAGACTTGCGGTTCTCATGAGGACTGCATGAAGATTACTGACTTCTGTAACGCGGCTCCATATTATTTCCTTCTGAAGATGGAGGCAGCACGTTTCCCCGAAACCTCAGTAAAATCTGCTAGTATACGCAGCTTCATATCCTAGTCTGTATACTACTTCTGTTAACTAATTCCTTCCTTGTTTCCTTTTTTCCTTTTTTTTTTTCCTTGGCACTACAGTCCCAGTGGGCCTTGGCCTAACTCCATGAACTTTTCCGTTCACTTCGGTTTTTCTAGATCTTACACATTCGGTAGGACTCCTTGGGCGGGTGATCAGCTCTTTGTGAACTGCCTACATGTACACGAACACAGATAAACGCACACAAAAACTAAACATCCATGCCCTGAGTGGGATTCGAACCCACGATCCCGGTTTCCAAGCGAGCGAAGACAGTACATGCCTTAGACCGCTCGGCTACCGTGACCGGCACAGAGAGGGGAGAGAGAAGAAGTGGTGGTCGTAGTGAGAGACACTACATTGGGGGCGGGGGGGGGAAGAAACTATATTTCAGATTTTGAAGGTTCCCAGGCAGTGCCCGCTTGTCCTTCTGGTAAAGATAGAGCATATAATCTGATTTTTGTTTGTTTGTTTTTGCTAACGTTGGGAGGGCTATATTAAGGCGAAATTTTGATGTTAACAATGGGAGGGCTGCATGTGAGGCATGCAGTGCAACGTGGAATTGGGTACCAACTCAGCATTTGCTCTAGTACCGAGGAAAACCACGGAAAACCTTGGTCGAGCTGGCCGGTNTTCCTTACTTACATCTTATTTTCTTTCCCCTTTCCTCCTTTCCATATTTCGTTCATCCTTTATTTATCTGTTTGTTCATTTCTCTCACATGTGCACATATCCATCAAGTTTAGCTAAAATGAAGTTAGTCTATGAAGGGAAACTCAGTGATTGCAAAAACTCATTCATTATTGGCTAACGTCTTGCGGAGAGAGACCGATTCAGAGAATCATCTCTGGGTTTCCGCATAAATTTTCTGGGAAAATGCACCGTAGACAGAGTATGGGAAGGGTGCAGAAAAAAGAACAAGTTCTGCATATTAAAACATGCTCATATTTTGGAGAGTGCGATGAACCGTGTGGCACGTATAATTTTCATTTCATTGCAAAACAACGCGCCACGAAAAACATATAATAAAAGGAAACAAAGCCACATGAAATACGTTACGTGATTGGTTCACACAGGGTTATTCCCCATGCAATAAGCGAAATACTTCATAGATGCATCATTGTGTGTGAATTAAATTTCCTGTGTGCCAAGGACGACAGTGGGAGTGGAATGAGGTTTCACATTTACAGCTCTGAGGTTACAGGGGTCTTGAGTCACAAATTGAATGACTTCATTTATTGTTGTGTTCAACATTAGATTACATAACCTTTGCTGATGTTAAGATGCGTTTCCGGTCATATACCTCTCAGAAGATATGAACGCTACGTTGTGTGAATTTAATGCTAGTTTCCTCAGACATTCGAAATTATAGCTCTCGTATTGTCATTTATATGCAGTGTCACTGAACTGTAATCCATTTCGAACACTTTCGTAACTTGCCTTTTGAATTTGCAATTTTTCCGCAGCCTAACTTGACGATGGTGCTGCCATCTTCGGGCCTTCAAACGTACAAGGTATACATTTCGTCTGTCCTACGGCGTCCACATGTCCGACAAGGTTAGATCTAGCAGTAGCTATGCAACGGCCTCATTGGAAAGACATAGGCTAGTTATTAAAATTTTACTTGCTCATTGTTGCTACATGCAGAGTGAAATTCATGTACTTAATTTGGGGAGATTTCATACCCCTAAAACAAATGCCATAAAGAAGCGTGCTGCAACAATAATGTGACATGACGCCTGAAAGCCGGAATTGTGCAGTCAGAGAAGCACAACAGAGACGTCTGTTGCTAGACAACGGCTAGTTGAAGCACATTTCCGCGGCAACGAATACGCTTGTATAAATCAACAAGTTTCCCGAAGATTGACACATGTTTCATGGCAACAGAGAATAACAGGGGAATCAACTGTCCGACTGGGTGTTCTATATTCGGTCCGCATGGAATTAGCTCAGTCCGAGATTAAGTCATACTGAGCAGTACTTCCGTATGGAGGCGGGGTCGAATACCTCCACCGTAACTCTGCGAGTCATAAGAGGCGACGAAAAGGGAAGTCACGAGTCCTACGGGACTCGAACCCGAGATTGACTGCGCTGGCGAGGGTCAGCAGCAATTGTAAATGAAAGACCCGTCGTCTCGTCAGAAAGAGAGCCCCACATCAACAAACCCGCAACAGTCTGACAATAAAAATCTGGTGGTAAGCCCCAGATGGGTGCTTTATTCCAAAACACACTGACCGACTGAGAGTCGGTCGTAACATAAGACTCGACTCGACTCGACTCCAGTCGTACTGAACAGTGGGAGCCTGCAGGAAAGAGACCAGTCCGAGGCCCAGAAGAAATACAGTGAGAGGCTCGTTATGGACGTGGAGTTTAATGTGTGAACTGTTATCATCAACTGGAATTGTAACAGACACGTCCAATAAATCCAGTCATCAAATCTAGAACCCACAATTATTCGTCAGGCTAGGCCCTTACACCTGACAATGTGATTATGATGTGACCCATCTCCGAAAATATTTTGGCCAAAACTTTGAAGGAATATAGTGCTGAAATTGACTCGTGTGTTTGATTTCAGTTCATCCGGTTATTCAAGTGCCAAACCAGCTGGTGGGTGCTCCACTGAACACTGACGTCACCCTCGAATGCTACGTGGAAGCATCACCCAAATCAATCAACTACTGGGTTCGACACACCGGTAAGTATTAGTCTTTGAAGGGTTACAATGATTGGTAATTGAATTATAACATAGAGACACTTTCTAAATGTGATAGATCAGTATCGCTCAGCCAAGCGGTTGCTGAATATCTATACATTATATTATTTCTTTACGCAGATGAAAACATTAGTTCTCTACAAGCAGAAACATAGCATGTTTTGTGTGTTGAACATTTCGATTGTCTGTCACTTCCTGTATACGTAGCAATCAGTAAGTCAGCTGTTTATGCGACTACATTTCTTACTGCTGAATACCGGCTTGATAATATGGGAAACTCCCTGTCGCTTAAATTGTTTAATACGCGCAAATATAATCGCCAGTTATGCCCTATCTACCTCTGAGCAAAATTAATAGGCAACAATATCCCGCCCAAGTAGTTTCCAACGCCTCTGGTAGATGGGGGAAATATCAGGTACCGACAGCCGACCTCGTTGGCTGAACGGGGCTGATAGCACGCACCAGTACCGGTAGGGTATGGGGACAGTAGAAATTAAAGGGGTACGTACAATGGACCAATAACTGGTCTAAGTGCATGGGGAAACCCATCCCCTCTAATTCAATTCAATTCAATTCNCTAAGCTACGGACTGGACACCTTAAAAATCTGGGTTCGATTCCTGATGGGGGTTAGAAATTTCTATATTCTTCACTGAGACACACCCAGGATTTTGACTCATCCAACCGCCTTCCCTTTGATGCCGGGGATACTGTGAGGGGTGCACTAAGCTGACCGCTCACTTCAGTCTAGTGTGAAGGGTACAACCCGTCACTCGACAATAGGAGGCGACTAACTATGGAAAACTTAAAACATTTAGTAATTGTGAACTGCAACAGAAGAGAAGTTGAAAGTTCGGAGAGCTAAATGTGAGTACCATTGGCTTTTTAAATTTGTAATGAATTGTTGCATGGTTTTTATTTAAGTATAGCTTTTTATTGCAAGTGAATCATTCAGTGATTATATAAAATGAACTTAAATATTGATTTGTTGGTCCTAAATAATATAAAATCAATTTTAATATTTGGTATAAATCTTTATGTGCATATTGCTGAAGCTTTTCATGCATAAATGCATACATATTTAATGGATTAATAGGGCATAAAAATCCGGTCCCTTCTAATGACATTTCAAGCATGTCAGATCTCAATAAATATCTGACCTTCAGTTCTCTAGTTGAAACATACGGAAGGGTAACCGGACGGGACAGACATCATCATAATCTGCGTTCTCTTCCTCTGCGTTGAGCAAAGAAAATGTAATGCGCTGCACTGCACAGAAGGCTGTTTGAGCTGTGCAAAACAGACAGAATACCTGTCCTTAGAATATGTCTGCTCTTTTCCCCTTTTCGTAAATCGCAAAAGGCTGAGAACTACACCGCCATATGTTTGAACTGTGATACGATAGCGGTAAAAAGTTAATGGAAATGAATGTGGAAGGAGACAGTATCATCCGCTCTAACAGTTTTGAATTTGCTTCGACGACCTGGAGAAAGCAACAAACAATCGCTGAGAATGGCCGTCCCCGAATACCGCTATAATAATGTGGCGTATTTGCTCAAACCAAGAACTGTGGAGGCAGAGGGACAGCCGTTGCTAGGTAACAGCCCGTACACACGCAACAGAGGAACGCGTCATGTACGCTGTGACGTCACCTAACAGTAGAAGAGGTGTTGTAGGCGGCATTCTCTGTGACCCGCGCGGCCCTTATGGCTAGGCAGCAATGCGGTAATAACATCTCTGCAGCAGTGAATAAACCCGCAACGACAGAGGAGCGATGTTTTCTGTGGATCCGCCCCTTGTCTATGTAAAGAGGATCATACGAAAGGCCAAGCATTGCGAGTCGTAGGAGGCGACGAAAAGGGAAGTGTTAAAACTGAGAGAGTTAAATATGGTAGCGAGTCCCAAGGGACTCGGACCCGAGAAAGACTGAGCTAGCGAGACCAGCAACATATACGAAAGACCTCGTCAGAGAAGGCGACCCACAAGAAAAGATCTTAACTGTGAAACAATAATAAATCTGGGGCTCGACACCAAGACTTACTGACTGACTGACTGACGGACCGTCAGTCGCAATGTGACTTTCACTTTATCCAAGCATATTAATAAGGGACAAACCCGCCTTCTCGTCAGAGAGAATGCTACATAAGGACTATTACCTCAAGGGTTCAGATGGGAAATATCTATATTTGGGTATCAAGGGGCTTGACTCCAAGAGGAACTGACTGGCAGCAAACCGCCAGTCGTAAAGTAACTCTGACTGGAATTAGAATTTGAGTTCCGGAGGTGACAATTGCAGTAGAAGATTGAGGGAGCCTCCGCAGTTGGCGGAACAATGGCAAGACAGGAATTAGGTTGTGCAAAGAAAATTTCATGTGTGATTATAAGGGACAGTGAGACTGTTATGAATCCGTTGCCAGGAAACGACTAGTTGAGAGTGTAATAGACTGGGGACATTAATATGTGTAACAGTGAACTGTAAAGTGTGGAAAAAGTGATAGAGCTGTAATTGCCTGTAGTTCCGCATGAGGTGTTTAAGGTGTCAACAAATCCAATCATCCAATCCAAATCCCGTCTAATAGTCATACACCCCAAAGTCGTATCAACAACTGAAAATAAAGTAAAGGTATCTCTGTAACAGGCTGTGAAGTCCCATAGGGTTGGGAGATGTTGAGGCTCCCACATCTTCTATACAATCGGCTCACAGATGGCGGTAAGGTTTCCAGCCTTAGGCGCCGGCCGCCCTTTACCCCCCATGAAGATTCCCTATACTCATTTCTGTTAGAGGCTGAGTCTGCCCCAGGGCCATAGCGCGACTTCCAGGTTTAGGTCAATTGAAAAAATCCATCTTAGTAAATGATATAATGGAAACGGAAGTCATAACCACTGGAATAAAGTTCTGGTGACAAATGCTATTCACAACAGTTATGATACAATCCAAATCAGTGCGGTTATTTCATCAGAGGGTGACATTTACTCATTACTCCATTTAGTTAACAGTTTCTAGCTATGCCAATTCAATTAGTGTCTTTTTTTTGCATTTCTTACTGTGTGTCCATACCAAAGCATTATTTTTGTTTTTGTCCTATCCAGAACACGTTACTGTATGCCTCTTCTGTCTCGCTCTATTTAATTTTCAGTCGTGTTCAATTCTTTAATCTGAAAAAGCTGGAATAATTAATTTTTCGGTGTTTCAGTTCATCTCTTCATGACCACCCTTGCTAATGTACAGTGGACGCATTCTTGACCATCCCAATGTCAAGCTTCATAGAGTACATCTCCCCAGCTTTGCCATTTGCCTCTTCTCTAAACACGAATTTTCCCTTTCATTAGAAAAACATTATTTAGGTTAATAATTTATTCACAACATGTATGTTCTCGTTTCCACCTTCATCAGCATACGTCACACCAGTCCGTTGTATCATCCACTTCCTCTACACGTGTGTTGCCTCTGTAAACTAAACTTCATCGTCTCCCGTCGGCCAATTACAATCCAAGTTGCACAGTCACAAAATATTTAATTACTACTTCCTTTTCTCGTATCAGTGGACAGTGACATGGCAAGAATTAGTGTGGGTGTACGAAGTGATTAAATAAAGAGTTCCATTCAAAGCGTGTTATTATAGCATAGAGCAGATAAAGTGAAGTGGCTTATTCTATCCTATTGTGACGCCTGAAAGTCCAACTGTATGAAACGCCTAAGTAGTAAACTGAACCGAGATATGTACTCGTATATAATTCTGTCACTGGGTTGTTACACCATGTAAATGTTGCCGATTTTTTGGAAGTACGAGTAGATACTTCTTAATTCATGGTGGAAGTTTTACTTCTTTTCTGAAGACGAACGCAACACATACCACCAAAACGCAGGCAAAATTGCCAACATTCACACAGAGTAACAACGCGAGAACAATTAACATAACTAATTAAACACCATGGGAACCTAAAAGTCTAAGTCAGAGTCAGAATTACTTTACGACTAGCGGTTTATAGCCAGTCAGTTCCTCTTGGCGACAAGCCCCTTGAGACTCACGACCAGTACTTTTTTTTAACTAAGCACTAGGGGTCGTAGTCCTTATGTAACATCATCTCTGACGAGAGACTTAGTCTGTCGTTTACAATTGTTGCTGGCCCTTGCCAGCCCAGTCACTCAGATCCCAGTCCCGCGGGGCTCACGATGACATTTTACTGCCTCAGAATCGAGACTCCGCCAACCTGGAGGGCATGGTCCCCACATTTATATGCCCCAGTTATACCCCCAAGGCACGAGGTTCCCTTTTCATCGCCTCCTACGACTCGCAAGACTATGGTGGAGGTATTCGAACCCGTCTCCACAGGGATAAAAAGGCAGTATCTGAAGTAATGTAATATGTATATTGTAGCATATGGACCCGTTGGTAGGTAGAGAACGCTAACAAACAGGTTCACACGGCAAATAATCAGCACGCAATAACAGAGGAACTGTTGGAATCGGTGTCTTCTGTGGTCCGCCATGCGGTCGTTGCTACGCAACGGCTCCGTAAACACGTCTCCGCAGCAACAGTTGAATTACAACAATATAATAGCTTTGTTTTCTACGCGGTACATGCCAAGGGGTTATAAGCGGGACGAAATTTAGAGCTTAATTAACTTAGTTAAAAGGATTTAATGCGAATGGCATTATAATGCATCGCTATGAGCTCAGTAAACAGCTGCAAGAACTATACGTAGATGTAGCCTTGTTCTCCAGCTCTGTTAGCTGGTCATCGAATTTATTTGGAACTGAATGATAACATGGCAGAATTTTGGTTGAAAACTGCTGTGCTAGATTTATTTCATTCCTTCAAACTCTATTGTTAGTTTTTATCCCAAGCCCTGAGACCTCTAATTTGCATTATCGCGTTCATAGTGGTTAATAGCGGGATCATAAGTGTGTTTGCGTAAGGGCTCTTTATATCTGGCTGCGTGGCTGAGTGCCGTGAAACTGCTTCAAGTGATTATGAAGGG